CTGGGAACAGCTTGTTTAAATGTGGAGTGGATAGGACATTTGTTTTAATCAACACTGAGAGCCAGACAGGGAACGTGTGTGTGTCTACTATTTCCATTTCCTGAGGATGTGCCTCCTTCCCATGGCTTCTGAGAACTTTTACCCATGTGCCCAGTAGGAAGACATGGTCCCTTGTGAATGCTATTTCTGCTTGGAGATGACTTTCTTCCAGCACCTCTCTGTTCTCCAAGGCTGTTCACTCCTTTCCTGTCCCAGGGAGAATTTTTTTTTTTTTTTTTTTATGATTCCACATTGTTCAGTATAGCTTGGAAAATTTTACAGTGTTTTCTCAGATGTTAGTTTGAACTTCACAGTCCTTCAAGGTAAAAGGAATAGTTTGTTGGTGTTCATGTTTTACAGATAAAGAAACAGAGCTTCAGAGAGGTTCAATGACTTCTAATAAGTGGCAGGGCTAGGAAAATAGCATTGGGCTTCGGACTTCTACCTCAAAAAAGGGGCAGAAGAATGACAGCAGAGGAAGTGTATTCTGTTATAGTTTTAGGCCTATCTAGAATAATTCTGGTTTGTTTTTAATTTCAGCTGAAGATGTTGCAACTCCTCTACTGCTGTCTTGGAGTTGATTTAGGCTGGAGTCACTTTCACCCATTACAAATGCCTTCGCTGCAATTCTCTCTCTCCCCAAGTATGATCACCCCAGTGCTATTAAACAGATTGTAAGGAAACGAAGTGTTCAGTGCTATCTTACCGTAAGAAGCCACCTTTTAGATGAGTCTCTTGACTTCTTAGTGTTGCCTCAGAAAATGTATTCTTCAGTGTAGAGAATGTTTAGCTGCTTCTGGAGGGGCTGCAGGAACTGGACATAGTCCCTGTCACCACAGGGTATCACAAAGATACAGGCGACAGCTTAAGAGACCAGCCAGCTGAGTGAGATTTGTCAGTCAACAAACAGCTTGAACCCTCTTGGATCATTTTTGCTCCGTTTTCTTGGATAGTTTTTATTTGGAGGAAGTGAATGATCTTCCCTCTTGCTCAAGATTTCTCTGTCTCTGTTTGCTTTGGCATCTTTTTTTTTTTTTTGGTGCCTGAATCTGCCACTTCACACCTGGCCTCTTTTTCTACATCTACCCCTGACTCCACCTTCATCTCTTCCTCTCTCCCTTCACATATGTTTCATATACAGTTGTTTTGTCTTTGTTGTTTGTTTCTCTCTTTCATTTTTCTCTTATATTGTCTGTCACCTTGATTTTCTGTAAACATATAATTATCACTAACAGAGTAAAGAGACTTATAGTGAAGAAAATTTGAAAGAATTTCTTTTAAGAATCTTTGGATCATTGTGTGTGTCTGTGCATGAGCATGTGAAAATGAAATGCATTTGTTGTTGACTTATTTCCTTAATACTAATCTCCAAATGTGTAAATGAAATATTCTGTATCTTCTTCTTAGTATCTCCATTGTATACATGCCTTCATGCCTCCCTTTTGACATAACTGCAGTTCTAGATCAGATATATTTGCATAGATAGTATTAGAACCTTGCAAAAATACACTTTCTGAAGGGTGGCTGCCCAGGAGAAGGGGGCCAGCAGGTGGCAGTCTCCCCTCGTAGAAGAGCCGAGAATGGTTTCACTGTGATTTTTCTTGATGGCAGTTTGCTTTATTGAATGAATTTTTTTTTTTTTTTTTTTTTTTTTTTTTTTTTGAGACAGAGTCTCGCTTTGTTGCCCAGGCTAGAGTGAGTGCCGTGGCGTCAGCCTAGCTCACAGCAACCTCAAACCCCTGGGCTGGAGCGATCCTTCTGCCTCAGCCTCCTGAGTAGCTGGGACTACAGGCATGCGCCACCATGCCCGGCTAATTTTTTTTTTTATATACATATCAGTTGGCCAATTAATTTCTTTCTATTTATAGTAGAGACGGGGTCTTGCTCTTGCTCAGGCTGGTTTTGAACTCCTGACCTTGAGCAATCCGCCCGCCTCGGCCTCCCAAGAGCTAGGATTACAGGCGTGAGCCACCGCGCCCGGCCTGAATGAACTTTTAAGGAACCAAAGTTAAGTTCTCAGTTGTGTTATGCAAACTCTGGGTTGGTTTAAAGAGAAAGTAGACCATCTCAACCCCGCCCTCTGAGTTGTATAGTGATTCTTCTCATGTTTTTACACAAGCGTTGGATTGGGAGATAATTTTATTGTTGCCTGGGCATCTGAGCATCATTCAATAGGTGTTGAAAATTTCATTTTTACTTTCAGGATTATTGATTCATGAGAGAGAATGAAGTGTTCCTTTGGGTATGGGCTGCAGTATCTTAGCACCTGGAATTTTGGAGTGAGTCATCATCTGCACCAACCACACATTTTCCCACCCCATTTTCATCTGAGGAAACAGATCCACAAAAGATTTGTTCAAAGACTAATAGCTGTAGGGGAGAGGGTCAGAGTTAGGAAAAAAATCCCCGAAGTGGCTGGGCTTTTTCTTGATGGCAGTTTGCTTTTTTGAATGAACTTTTAAAGAACCAAAGTTAAGTTCTCAGTTGTGTTATGCAAACTCTGGGTTGGTTTAAAGAGAAAGTAGATCATCTCACCCCCATCCTCCGAGTTGTATAGTGAATATTCTCATGTTTTTACACAAGTGTTGGATTGGGATATAATTTTATTGTTGTCTGGGCATCTGAGCATGCCCAGAGGGCTGCAGTATCTTAGCACCTGGAATTTTGGAGTTAGTCATCATCTGCACCAACCACGCATTCTCCCACCCCATTTTCATCTGTGGAAACAGATCCACAAAAGATTTGTTCAAAGACTAATAGCTGTAGGGGAGAGGGTCAGAGTTAGGAAAAAAATCAAGAGCCGAAGTGGCTGGGTCTTCAGTAAGTGTGCTTAAATTGAGGGGGCGAAAGCAGCACCAGGCTCCAGTGGGCTGTCAAACCCTGCACATGTTCACAAGTGATTATCTTCAGTGTAATCCCCATAGCAACGGAGCAAAGTGTCTGCCCGTAGCTGGATGATAAAGATGATTATGGTAGAGAAAGAAAGAAAATCCTAGGGACAGCTTGATTGAGGAGGGGTTGCTATGCGTGCCAGCTCACTCCAGTGCTTTTTCGTAGGCAGCTGCAGCAGCTTCTTTTGAGAGAGGCCTATGGAGCTCATTGTTTACATAATCAACCAGAAAGCACTTATCCGTGTTGGTCTGTGCTTGGGAGCTGGCTAGCAAGCCAGAAATCACCCTGGTTCACGTTTCTGTAGCTCCCGAAGGTGTCTGAAGATAGATTCTGCCAGCTTATTTCTGCCATTTGCTCTGAGGATCAGCAAACCAGAGCAAGTTGCAGAACTTTAGGCTGAGGGACAGATGCTAATGGTAGTTTTCTTCAAAGGAAAATGCATGCAAAAATTGGCTGATAAAACTAGGCTTAATAAACACAGGACAATCTCAAGCCAGGCCTCCCTATGAGTTACTTTCCCTGTGTTTTTAAAATTGGTTTATGAATGTTAAATAGTTTTTGTTAAATGACATGTCTCTATAAATCAGAGATGGCAAGTGCTTTTGATAGAGGCAACTAAGCAGTGCCCTGGTCTCGTTGGTTAATATCAGCGTGGTGGACATGGAGGTGCATTGGCCTGCTCCAATCTTGCTTCGAGGAAGGGCTTGCAGGCCAGCTGTGGGGAATGCGGTCGGCAGGCAGCCCATAGCTGTTGTAGCTTTCTGTGCCTCTCTCAGCTGCAGAGGTCTGTCTCTCCTTGACCGAGCCACCACCTCCAGTGTCTGAGATGGAGAGCGGGATAAAATCCCAGCCACTTCCTCTGGAAGATCACCTCCGATGGGTGCCACTCTCCACGGCTCCCAGCCAGGCTGGCTGAGGCTCATGGGCCTGCACTGCAGTTCTTCCTCCTCTGCCCCGTCCCTCTTTGTCCCCTGCCCTGCACAGGTGTTGATCCAAAATCCATCGATGGAGTTACATTTCTAGCTTTAAATATAAACAAAAAAAAACAAACAAACAAACAAACAAAAATCCATCGAGCATCTGCTTTAGGGAAACCCAACTTGCAACAGCCACCCTGTCTCTTCTGCTTGGAAAACAGTAGAAAAAAAAATAAATGGCCCCATAAAGTCAATGCTTAAAAGTCTTTTGAGATGATTTACCTTTTCGGTAATTTTTACATAAGGAAGGAGAGGGTAACCTTTACAAAATCTCAGAAAAGAAAAAAAGTTATCTAGCATTAATACTATAAAGAAGTTAGTTACAGTAGATTGACTCTCAACATAGCCCACATAACCAGTTTTTATTATATAATAGGAAGAAAAGGTTTCCAAATTCTTGATTTACCAGGCTCTAAAAATCACTCTGAAGGTTTTTCATAACCAGCTTCTTTGTATGGTTGCCTTACATGGTTTTCCATGTTTCTGATTGTGTTTTGTGGTTCTATCAACCTGCCTAGCTAGTGTCAAAATACCAAAGTGTTGCCTTGTCCTCATTGTGGGTGCGGTTGAGGTTCCCTCCCTTAGGATTTCCTGCGAGGGGTGGGTTGGGGGGAGCAGGGGAGGGATGGATAGGGTACGGAGGGGGGGTGTAGGGAGTTCATCTCTAGGGTGCCAAGCTAAACTCTGTTGCACTAGTAACTTTGTTTCCAGAACTTGCTGTATCTGCACTTGACCCTTTAATTATCTAATTGGGTAGGTTGGGGGTAGTTTGGAATACAATGGATCGGATCAGGAAAAACAAAAATCTGAAGGGTTATATGGCCCTCATCTTGAAGGTGCTGCAGAGGTAATGAGCACAGTTAATGAACGACTGATTCATGGCATTGGTAAATTTAGTTTTGAGCACTGAGGTTGATCACATGCTAGCTGTAACCTAAAAAGTAATATTCATATGCAACAAATTGGGTTACATGAAGTCTGGAAAGTTTATAATTGAAAAGGTACAGACATATAAGCAACAATTCAGCCCAAGTGAGATACAGAATCGTTTTTAATATGATCCCAAGAGGTGATATCCTGTCTCATACAGGGGCTGGATTGTGTGTGTGTGTGTGTGAGGGCTAGATAGATAACATCTTGTTCTTATCGGTATTTCAGGAAGCATTCTTATTAGAACCATCTCCTAGAAGAAAGAAAGTTATATTAAAAAAGATTGAAACATGAGTCAGTTTTCAGGATTTCAGAATGATGCAAAACTAAATATATGAATCCTGGAAAATTTAGTGAGAGTAGATACCTTAAAAAAACAAAAACAAAAACAAAACGTGACCAAGGAGAGTTGGTCTTCATTTCTGGGATTAACCAATCCTGATAATTATATATGAATATAATTTTGTCATAAAAGTGTGGCTTAGGTTTTACTCAGCAAAGCTATTTTGCTTAATCCTACTATAGTTCTCTTGGATTTCATCTGATAGTGAAAAAAAGTTACAAACTTCCTTCAGAATGGAAATGTCTTTTTTTCTTCAGTGATGATTCAAAACGTTCGAAAATATTTTCTCACAATGCCACTGATGGAGAATTTTCAGAACTCTCCCTTTTAAATTCTGTCACATTTCCAATTTGTTGAACCCCAAAATGGGCGTTATAGGTTGTACCTAAGTGATGGCATTTTAGGTATACACAAATTGGCAATGCAAACGTGTCCTTTGTTGGGTATTAGGTTCTCACAGTGTCTCCTAAACAAAATACATTGGCTTTAAAATTAGTGGCTCCCATCATGTGTTGGCTGGGCTCCTTTGTTAGGTCTGTACTATAAAAAATCAGAGAACATTTAGTCCCAGCTGCCCTGGCTTGGATAAATACTTTCTTTTTCCTTTTCTCATTTCACTCCTTGACCTTTTAAAGGAAGGCTTCCTCCTTCATTCTGCCATTAGCATTCATCTCTGCTGGTCTTTCCTTTAGTTCATCCTGTCATTTCTAGGTTTTCCTTGCCTGTTTCTATGAATGTCCCCCTGCCCCACCTCACTGCCATGTTAAAATAATCTACTAGAAAGGGAAAGAGGGAAAGACATAGTGCTCACTTAAAAGTGTTGGTGGCTCTTTTTACAGGTCTTGATTGGACTTAATCCTTCAACTGGCTAGTATTTTACTTAAGATAGATGTTATTGTTCAGCCTTACCTTCTCTAAAAGATAGCAGAACAGGGAGAAAAAGGACAAAATTCTGTAGCATTTACCAAATCACAGAAAAATGTTCTTACCGGATCACCTGGGAATAACCAGGGCAGTTTGGAGAAGTTTTTCTTCTCATTGTTTTTCATTTATTTATGCTTTGAGTACTATCAATGCTCAGTTTTAAATTCCCACCAAGAATGTTCTCATTTTATCATAAAACTTCAATTAAGTCTCTTAATTTTCTTCTTAGCTCTAGCACTCTAATGTCCAGAGGAGTCATTAAGAAACTGCAAAGAGACCGTAGTCCTCATTGTATCTGCTATGTCCTTTGGAATGTGTCTACCAGATATTTGTGACTTTCTTCAGAGCAGTAAAATATTGACATTAAGAAAGAGAATATTACCCAACGGCCCAAAGGCACAACATTATCCCGGAGCTTAATTGTCAATAATTTGAAATGTAAGAACAAAACTGAATGTACGAATGTAATTCTTTGCAAAGATGACTCTTACTGCAAACGTGGTACTCTGGAGTTTGAATGAAGAGCTCCAGATGCTTCTAAGACGCAAGCTCATTCTCTTTTCTTCCCTGTAGGTCAGTGGGATAGCTCATTCCATTAACTTCGATGTGCCACCCCTGAGAGCCTGCCCTGTACCTTTTATTCTAAGTGGATGTTCACATCTTTTCCATTTGTTCATTCTATCTTTAGATGAGCTAAGAGATCAATGTTTTTGATACATGAATATTTATTTTGCCATACAGTTTTTTCCTTTATGCTTACCACATCATAAAATTTACTGGTAAAGCATAAAATATTTCTTGAAGGCCGACATATTTTTTTGACCTTTTATTTGGAAATAACTTTAAATTGATAGAAGATACTTGAATAAGAATAGTACAAAGGACACCAATTACTCTTTCCCCAGTTTCCTCTCTTGTGGACATTTTACACAATTTTCTTAATCATTTGTGCACTGTCTTCTTTCCAGACATACATATATACATGCATAATGTGTATGTACATGCATGTATATACACACATAATATTTTGTTTTCACTAAAGCATTTGAGACTAAGTTTTACACATCATGACCTTTATTCCTAAATAGCTTAATACTTTTTACAGGTAGGTATATTCTCTTATATAACCACAGGCCAGTTGTCAATTTGAGTAACTATAGCATTGATACCTTTTTCTAATTTGTATTTCTGTTTTCTCATTGCTTGGATAATGTTTGTTATAGCTTCTTTTTCCTCTGGTACAGGATCCAGTCTATGAGTAGGTATTGCATTTAGCTGTCATGTCTCTTTAATCTCTGCAATGTTTCCACAGCCTTTTTTTTTTTTTTTGTCTTTGATGACATTGGCATTTTTGAAGGTGGAGTTCCCCCACTTTTTAAAAATGAAAGTCTCCTCATTTTGAACGTGTCTGATGTCTCCTTATGATTAGATTTAGGTTGTGCATTCCAGGCCAGAACACTGCATCTGTGATTTGGCTGCTTCTCAGACAGTGACACCTGGAGGCACATGATGTCCATCTGCCCCTCACTGGTGATGTCAACTTTCATCACACGGCAGAACTGTTGCCCCATTTCTCCAATGCTAAATGGTTATGCCATTTCCTTCCTTCCTTCCCTTCCTTCTCCTCTCCTCTCCTCTCCTCTCCTCTCCTCTCCTCTCCTCTCTCTCTCTCCTCCCCTCCCTCTCCTCTCTCTCCTCCCTCCCCTCCCCTCCCCCTCCCTCGCCCTGCCTTCCTTCCTCCCTTCCTTCCTTCCTTCCTTCCCTCCTTCCTTCCTTCTTTCGTTCATCCATAAGAAGCAATATGGTTGCCATTTTCTCCCTTGCAAATAATGAGTGGTTTATGGAGAGACACTTTAAAACCATGTAAATATCCTGCTCCTCATTAAAGTTTCCCTTTAGATTTAGTATCCATTGTGATTTTTGCCTGAACTAATCTTTATTGTGATGGTGACACAGGGTGAGGATCTACTTCATCACTCCCTCAAAGCTTGGCAGATGACACTCTACTGATACCAGGGACCCTGGCTTTTCCTCGTGTGTGTGTGTGTGTGTGTGTGTGTGTGTGTGTGTGTGTTTGCCTTAGTCCTTGGCTGCCCTAACAGAACACTTTAGGCTGGGTAAGTTGTAAACAATAGAAATTTATTGCTTACAGTTTGCAGGCTGAGAAGTCGAAGATCAAGGCACCAGCAGATTTGGTGTCACAGGAAGGCGCTTTCTTCATAGCTGGTGCCTTCTCTGTCTTCTTACATGGTGAAAGGGGTGGACAAATTTCCTCAGGCTCCTTTTATAAGGGCACTAATCTCATTCATGAGAGCTCCACCCTCATGACCTAATCACCTCCCAAAGGTCTCATCTCTTAATACCATTACCTTGGGGGTTTGGTTTCAACATATGAATTTTAGGGGAACACATATATTCAGATCCTGGGTTTCTGTTTCCTCACCCTAACCCACCCTAGATGGTCTATAATTATTATCCTTGTTAGCTTGGTGCTCAGATTATCCCAGATTTGGTCAGTTGGACAGTCCCTTCAAGCTGGCTCTATGTGCCTCTGTCACACCTCCACTATTCTTTTGAGCACATCTTTATCTTCTGTTACAACAATATGTTCTAGTCTTACTATCCCTCCCCAGCCCTGCCTTCGGCCACTTCTCCGAGAACCTCGGGCTCCTTTTAGTGGAGAATGGTGTTAGAGATCAAAATCCGTGTACTTAGGTATATATGTTTTCTCATTTCCCCTTCTTTTTAAAAACATAGGTAATAGTATTAGATATGATGTTTGGTGCTTTGATTTTTTTCATCTAATAAGATCTCTTAGCCAACATTCCACATCAGTTCATATAGGGGCTTTCTCATTAGTTTTTGACGATGACATGTTATCCATTGTGTGTTTGCACCAGAGTTTATTCAACAAGCTCCTATGATTGGACATGTAGTCAGTTTCTAATATTTTGTAATTGCAAACTAGTAACACAAGTGAATAAACTTGTATAGATGTATTTTTGTATGTAGAAGGGATATTTTCAGGATAAATTCCTAGAAGTGGGATTGCTGGGTTTAAGGGTAAATGCATATGTGATTTTATTGCATATTGCCAAATTCCATTCCGTGGGGTTTGTATCATTTTGCATCACCAACAGCAATGTATGAAAGGGTCTGTTTCCCCACGACAGCCTCAGCAACAAACTATACTGTGAAGCTTTTGAATTTTTTTAATCTGATGGGTGAAAAAGTGGTATCATTATAGTTTTAGTTTGCAGCTATTATTGTCAGCCGAATGTCTTTTTATATGCTTACGGACTTTTAAATATCTTCTTGTTTTAAGTTACCTATTCATATTTTTTGCCCATGTATCTATAGGATTTTTGGTATTTTTCCCCCTCAATTTTTGAGTTCTGTTTTTATATTAGGGATATCAGTCCTTTATTTGTAATATATGCAATATTGCTTATATTGCAAATATTTTCCTTTGGTTTGTACTTTATTTGACTTTGCCTATTATATATTTTTCCTTGCAAAACTTTTGATAATTTCCAGTTAGTTAAATTTATCACTCTTTTCTTCAATGGCATCTGAAGTTTTAGTCACAGTTAGAAAGGCTTTTCCTACACTCATATTATTTATAGAGGAATTCACCCATCTTTTCTTTCCTTGGTACTTATATAGTTTTTTCTTTTTTTTACATTTAGATCTCTGATTCACTTGGAATTTATTTTTGTATATAATGTGAGAAGTTGATCTAATTGTATCTTTTTCCACATGGCTAATCATTTGTCCAGCATCATTTGTAGAAAGACCATTTTCGCTCCAGTGATTTGGGGTACCACCTCTATCATAGGCTAGATTCTATATGTAAGTAAGCCCTGTTCTTTTTTTAGGCATTATATATATGGTGACAAAAAGCTGGATTAAGTAAGCCCTCTGAATTAAGGACTCTCATAAAGAAGAAGTTTTAAAATTAAAATGTCACCTAAAAATTTCGGTATTATCATTATTGGAGTGTCTGAATTAGGTGTCACAATTAAAACAGTAGAGTGGTCATATTCCCCAGCACCAGCTCTCAAGCTGTTAAAATGCAGATTCCTGAGCTCAGCCATCAAAAATTTTTATTTTATTTTATTAAGTAGGGATGGGGCCTTGATATTTTATCTACTTAAGAAGCAGCACAGTGAATGTGGCATAGTGGGTTATTAGATCACTTTTTTTTCTTAATTTTTAAAAATTTCAACATATTACTGGGGTACAAATGTTTAGGTTATGTATACTGCCCTTGCCCCACCTGAGTCAGAGCTTCAAGCGTGTCCGTCCCCCAGACGGTGCACACTGCACCCATTAGGTGTGAATATACCCATCCCCTCCTGCCCCCTCCCATCTGCCTGACACCTGATGGATGTTATTTCTAGGTCCCTTTTTGCAAAGCATGGTCTTAGAGGAAAGAGGCAGCTAACCCGAGATAAATATTTGGTATAGCAACATGTGTGAATGGTAGTAGTTAAACTGCTTTGATGATGACAAAAGGAAATATAGGCTTCCCACTACACAGAAAACAAGAGAATTAATTACTCAAGGAGCTAGAAGTTGAGCACTAAGGCTGTTGGAAGTAAATTCACATTTAGTAAAACCATCCTTTGGATTTTATTCTTGGTTGTCTGGACATGAGATGTAGGTCTGTGGTTCTCGGGTCTTTTTAGTTTTACATATTGCTCAGGAAGCTCCACTCTGAATGACTTATTTTTGTGATAAAACCTCATTTAACCCGCAATGGTGGGAAGGCCGCTCCAATTTTGGGAGGTTAGAAATGAGATTACATAAGTACATTTGTTACAGGTTACTATCACACATTTTATGATGAAAGCATTCCTATCACTTTTTACACTGTCTCCTACCATCTGCAAAATTATTACCCCTGATATGTTCTTTCAAAACTCGGGACCTGAATGGTTGAGCATGGAAACGATAATTGATACAGTTCTCTACCAAGCTTTGATTTTAAAAATCTGGCCATATTGTGTGTTAGGAGGTGTAGGAAACACTTGCTTCCATTTTCTGAGGCTGATTCACTGAATCTTTTTATCCAGATTTGTTTTCATCTGTTTATTCCTTTATCTCACAGATTAGAGTCCATTGTGGTTCTAATCTTTGTTATGCATGTTCTTTATGAATAAAATTCCAAGCACACAGAGCGCACATGTGCACATTTTACTACAAGATAGTAAAAGCTCAGTCTGTGGGGACTGCATTTCCAATGTGGGGACCTTATGGTTCCCATTCTTTGCAGTTTAAAAATTTTATGTTAATGTGGCATTATGGATGAGGATTTCTCTTTTCTTCTGTGAGTCCTGGCAGTATACAGCAGCCATAGAATAGCTAAACTTGAAGAGGCTTTTTGGCAAAGATTTAGATATCTGTCCTCTGGCCTTTTCTGGTTCTCTTCCCCATTGAATAACACAAAGCTAATGAGGATTTCACTTTGGTGAAATCTGCCTACTAAATGATGCTTGCAAATAACACATTCATCTATTAGCATTTGGGATTTTGATTAAGTCATTCTGCAAGTAATTTCATTTTCGTGGCTGTTAAGGAGTATAGTGCGAAAGGAAAAATATGTTTTGGCATTGACTACTTTGAGGTCCCTTTACAGTTTATCAAGCTCCATGGAAATTGTAATGAGGCTTTTTAAGGTACAGGTGAACATTAATATACCCTTTTGATTCTAGCACTTATTATATGATACACTAATAATGCATATGTCATACATTGCTAATAAAATGTCAAAAATTGGACTGACAGTCTTAAAGTGTTGAACACTGTTTTATTGGTTTACTAGCTCTAATTGAAACACTGTCTCCATTTTTCCATTCTACTGCTTAAAATATTTGCCCCATTGTTTTATTTATGCTTTTGTTGCATCTTTGTCTATAACTATATTTACTTGAATATTCATATTCTATGGCAATTCCTGGCCTTTGGCTTATCGTTTTCCCACTAACCTCCTTACTTACAAATTCCTTCATCTCATTTGTCAACAACCTCTGCTCATCTCTGAGGTACCTTGGATTACGCTAACTCAAATGAGGACACTGACTTTGGTAGTTCAAGACTCAGTGACTTTTGAGACAGAAAATGGAGCCTGTGGCGATGTTCTCCCTCATTCTGACTGTTTGAATAATGTTTTTTACTCACTCCATTACTCCTCTAGAAAAACATTTTAATATTTTTGCCATTCATATTTTTCTAATATTGTACTTGAATCAATGCCTTAGTCTAGATTTAACAGGCTGTACAGAGTTGTTTTCAACAGAACAAAGAAAATCCAACTCCATTTAGGTTGTCTTTCATTTGCAAATACTAATTGAAACTTGAACTAGAAGTTGTATAACTTGGAATGAAACAGTCTTCATAAAACTGTTTTGTTGTTGCATTAAAAGTTTTCCAATGTTTATTTTCAGTGTATTTTTAAAAACCCCTTAACCAATGGTGCTAAAATAACCATGGAGTTGTTTTCATTCACTAGATTCCACTGGAAAAAATAGCTAAAGTAATTGTATAGATTGTTACTTTATTGTTTTGTGTCCTGCTTAACTGATTCTTTGCTTTACGTACAAATGCACTGGATCTTAAAAGCTATTCATTTTCTGTTGAAATAAGGTACCCTTTCAACTGAGTAACTTCCTAAGTCCTAGAATGAGGCTCTTTCCTTGAGTAAATGCGACTCTTCTTTAAAGTATTTTAGATTAGAATTTTTTAAAAATAGTTTATTATTCTTAAGTAAGAAGTCCAGACACTACTGGATGGTAGAGTTGGTTTAATGACTTAATGATGTCAGGTTTAACATCTCTGCAAGTGGTTTAGCCTTTTCCAATGGTCACAAGATGGCTGCCATCAATTCAGCCATCATATCTTTTTTTAAGTCAGGAAGAGAGGAAAAAGACCTGACTTTTGCTTATAATTTAAAACATAGATATAAAACTGTTCTCAGGAGGATTTTTAACATGAAGATAGAAATGCTGTAAATTTTCTGTTTGGAATAAGGTTTTTACTTTTCAAATTGGTTATCTGAAAGGTTATACAATTATCTCTATTACATTATTACTTAACATATATTCATTTAAGAAATATTGTTCACTATTTGCCATATAATGTTTAGAAGTTGGGACTACAAATGGTAATAAAACAGAGATTTTGCCTTCAAGTAGCTTCTTGGATTCATCAGGAAGAAATACAAGGAAATAGACAATATAGTACTGTGTGAGTGACAATCCGTAGAGCTTAGCATTACAACAGTATAAGGGTAGGGTGTGGGGTTGCTATCTGGTACCTGGAACAGAGGAGACTTGACCTGAGATTCGGAACAGGAATAAAAGGTAATTGATAAAGGTGAGGGGGGAGGTATTGACAGGGAAAATCACTGGGTGCCGGGACATGGCCGCTGGCTGCCTCCTGGCGGCTCCTAACCTGCTCCCGACATACTAAGCTGAGGCACAGCAGCTCCTTGAGCAGTGGCCTCCTGTCTGTTCTCAGTGGTGCCTGTCATCTCCATGGGCTGCACTGCTACTGCGATCTTGATTGGATGTTAAAGCTTGTTGCTGATTGGATGTTAAAGCTTGTTGCTGATTGGATGTCAAAGCTTGTTGCTGATTGGATGTTAAATCTTGTTGCTGATTGGACGCTTTCTGAATCCTACCAAGGGTATAAAAACTGGAGGAGAAGAAGGAAGGGGGGTCAGAAGTTGATGCTGCGCCTGCTGGCAGAATAAAGGCTGTTCTGGGACTCTTCGTGTGCCGCTCAGTTCTTTCCCCGGTCAAGAGCTGTAACACTAGCTGTACCACTTGCCAGAACAGTGTGGTGATTATCCAGGCATCAGGACCAGCATGTACAAAGGCCTGGAAATAACAGAGTGCATGGTTTACTCGGGTTCTACAAGTCATTCTCTATGGCTGCATCATAGGCATGAGGGATGGAAATTTAGGCAAATATTTTACTTTTAGATCTTTGTCTTCATCCTGTCCATAGCAGTTACTCTGTCGCCTTCTATTTTCATCTGAAGCTAATTCCTTAGAACTTAGTTTTGCTTCCACTATTCTGGAACCCATGAACTAACAAGTAAAATATTTTTGTTGTATTAACATTAGCATCTAGTAGAAACTGCATGTTGGTGATCTACTGGCCTAATCTGACCTACAGAAATAGACAGTGGAGTGTTTATTTATTTATTTATTTATTTATTTATTTTGTCTTATATAACATAAAAAGTTGAATTCATTTCCAACATTTAAAAATCAAGATATTTCACAGATAAATCCAATTTGTTTGCAAAAATTAGAAGATTTGGAAATATTAGGCCGGCATTCCCATGGGGCAAGGATAGGCTGGAGCTGAGTAAGGGCAGGTGGTATCTAGTTCACCCCAGTCCTCATTTCCTGTTGTTTTACAACATATCTACGTGACTGATTTAAGATCATCGGTTGGCTCCTGAAGGCACTTATATTTTCTATCTCTAGCACAGGACGTAGAACTATAAAGACATGGCTAACTTGTACACTAGCAGTTCTAGTCAAGGTGTGGTGACATAATTCTGTTTTCATTGACACAAACTGACAACATTGTCAATAGGTGCACACTGGCCACCAGCTTGCTTGAGTGAACAGCAATCAAACACCTCTGTATTGTGCATCTTGTTTCTAATCATCCCATCTGATTTTTGTGCCTCTCAAAGTGGTTCTTCCCTGATAGACATTATAACCTAAAAAACCCCTCAAAAATTCTAACAAAAGGAACATAAGACTGTAAATCTTGAGGCTATGATGACTAGTCACTAAATAACTTCCTAATGGCCTTGGCTAACCCATTTAATTTCCTTGGCCCTCAGAATATTCTATTATAAAATATCTACAATTTCACCGGTGCTATCTAACTGATGAGATTATCACTGGCATTCAGGTAAAGCAGTGTATACCATGAGCAATGTAGACAATGACTGGGACCTGCAGATGAAAGGAACTATTGACTATGGTTAGGAGTCTTGGGGGTCTTGATGAGGTGGCTGAGCAGAAATTACTACTAACCTAAGGAAACTGCCCAACTTTAAACCTTGATGACTTCTCACAAGTGAAAAGGAGGCCAAAGCGTGGGAAGCCCATATGTATGGAGACTTTCAGGATTGTGGCTGGTAGACAGACTGACAGTAGACAAAGGTTTAAAGACTTTCTGCATTGTGTTTTGCTCAGAGAGTGGATGGGATCTATTGAGCCTGTTATTCTGTGGGCAAGATTAGACTTCTATAACAAAGACAAAAAAAAAAAATAGAAATTATCTGGCCTACTTCACTCATTTTAATGATGACAAAGTGGGTTCTCAGAGGGACAAAGTGACTAATTAGTATCAGAGACAAGACAAGAAGCGCTGAACGTCTAAACTCTCAATCCAAAGATCTTTCCATTATGCCTGTGATCTCACTTAGGAGAGAAAGCTTTTGATGCTCATATGTGTTTTACCTGAAAAGCTGTTGGTTTTTGCTGTTTCATAGGAAAGCTAGAGAAGTTCCTTTTTAAAAATTGTATCCTTTAAGGCTTGTTTACCTTTTGGGTCACCTACCGTAGTACCAATAAGTTTTTGTCATCTTTGATGACAAGGATGTTAGGAGAGCAACAGGAATTCTGATGAGATTTAGTTTTTCAGTGGTTAGAGGGAACAGAAGAAAGATTGCTCTACTGACTCAAATATTCTGTAAGGCAAAAAATTCCAAGTACATCTTACTCTTTTGGCTGTTGGAGTCATAGGTCTTCAGTCCTCCAAATATGAGAAGAATCTTCACAACTGAAAATATGGTATGATTTTTTACACTGACAAGGAAACCTATTGGAGATGAGTAAAATAGTGTATCTAACCTCTAAGAAACTTTCCCATTCTAGAAAGTTTTGTTAGTATTTCCCAGGAAAATGATTTTTATATTTGAAAATTTAAAAAAAAACTATAGTTTAAAAAAACATTGTCAATTCAATATGTTCTTGTTGAAAACAATAAGCTATGCTGTAAGAGGCAAAGATTTCTTCAATACAGGTTTAAAATCCTTTGATAATGCTAGAATTGGACTATTATTGTGCCTTTATAAATTAATGTCAATTTTGTCTATCAATTATTATAGTTCTAAGATTAGCTAATGTTAACCCTAAAGATGAATTCTTTACATTTGTTTAGTGAATTGCCAAGTCCTCTTGATTTTTTTTTTTTCTGTCTCCTGAATCATTTTTTCTCCTCTCTACTAGGCATATCTTGCAGGGACTTCTGTAATATATTCATAGCTTCCTAATTGATTTCCCTGCATTCACTCTTTGTGTTGAAGTGTGCCCACTGATAACCTGATTCATCTGGGAACTGCATTCTCAGAATCCCCTTCCTGTCCAGTTTCCTGTGGCGTTGGTCAAGAGGGGAGCTTGCATGGAAATGAAGTAGTGAAGTAGCCCGGATACAGAGATGCATGTGTGCATTCAGCAGGTGCCAGTTTGTCCTCGCTGTCCTCCACTCGGTGGCTCTCTCATCTTGCTGACTGCAGGACCTGCTGACAGCTATAGCCCCAGGCCCACCCCCAGATTAACTCCAGACCCACAGAGCAGGACCTGCCAGAGGCCAGAACTCTCCTAATACCCCCAAGAGCCCCCTATTACAGCCCCACTTGGAGAGCTCGCTGTGCTTGGCTGCTCAAGTCTCCCTGACAGCTTTGCCTTGTCTCCCTGAGTCATCCTTTTTGAGGCTGGATAATGACTCTTCTGTCCTCCAATTCCCACTTCCAGACGTTTCCTTCCCTGGCTCTTTCCACACTTGTGTAAACTCTTAATTCCTATGCTAAATCCCTTATTCCCATTATGCTCACAGTGGCTCTGCTTTTCTGGCTACAGCCCAGCTGATACACACCTAAGCTCATCCATCGCCTGTCCCAGAGCGAAACTTCTGTAGTGACAATGATCACGCACTGACAGAACCCTCCCCATTCCCTGTGAATCCTTGATCCTCATCATCTCTTTCAAAACTCCCACTTCCCAGGATTCAGAGCTCCATCTCCCTGGGTTCTGTCCACCCTGGGCCACACGCTGGCACACTTTGGAGTTCAACGCTTCTGCCCTGACCCACTCTATAACACAGCAAGCTAGGGTTTTGGGTGGATCAGAGCTCGATTCAAATTCTTGTGCTGCCCCTTTCTAGTTGGGGACTTGGGCAAGTTATCTGGCATTTATTAGGTTCAGCTTCCTCGCTTATAAAGGGGTAAGATAGCAGTAGCTACCTTATGAAAGTGGTGGGAGACATAGGTACAAGGCTGTAAAACGTCTCATAGTGCTCGATACTTGGGAACATGCCCACAAATATTGACTTGCTTCCTCTTTTTCTTTATTCTGCCAACAGTCCTTCATTGCTCTCCCAGGAGCAGTGACCTCATGGTCCAGATGTTTCACTGGCTCCAGTACCACAGCCTCCAGTGGAAAAGGCTAGCACTTGGACTGTGGACTCAAGCACCAAGCGTTGGGGTAGGAGCATCCTGGTTCAAGGGCAAGTGGCTCTATCTTTTAATGTGGGTAATTATTCCTGTGAGCGATGGTAGTGAAGCCATATTTTTAAAAAATTGCTGGCCTTGATGCTGATGAGAGATACGAACAATAGATAAAATGAGAAGAGATAAATTTTTAAAAAATGGACTTGACTGTAAAAGCAGTATTAATTATAGATATTTATATACATGGCTTATTATTTGTACACAGTGACAATGATGCAAGGCATTACATCACATCACTAACTTATTTCATTCAGTTGCAACAATAAGTTCTCTCCACAGACACTTGGCCATTAAAGTTTGTTGTTCAGGTGCCATGTTCATGTGCTGCCAACCTGGAACAACTAGAGGAATAGCAGTTTCCACAAAAGTAGATAGTTTTCTACATTTCATTCCTCAAAAAGTACTATGGGAAAGTTGTTATTCTTATCCATATTTTTCTGATAAGAAACTAAGGCTCAGGGAATGTAAATAAATGCCTAAAGTCATAAGATATTCATGGGACACAAATGCTTTTCTTGCCTAAGGTCTTACTTGGACCTATGTGGCAAAGATGATCTGTTGGAAGATGTTTAGTGACACACATAAATACCTTTAATTAATGGCATGAAAACGTGATGAGAGTTGGATGTGCAAAAATCAAGATTCACAGGTCTAGATCTGAGTTCTAGATTTTGGGCCAAGGGTGTGACTGCTTATCTGCTCCTAGGGTCAGATTTCCTCTGATATTTTGATTTTTTGATGTTTGCATCTGCATATGCTTTGTAATCTGCAGGCTTCCTAAAAGCTCCAAATGTTTAAAAACAATTCTCTAGCATCTTTGAGCATTTTCAATCTACTCAAATGGCCTATCACTGTCTTCAATATTTTATAGGTACCATGCTCTGTTCCAAACAAATGATCCTGTCCCTATGGACAGTGTGGTGACTAGTCCAGGTGGACATTAGGTCCCCATGCCTGATGGTTCTTGGGAAGAGGAGGCTGTGATTGACCCCAGTTCTTCAATGAGG